TGCAGGCGGCCAGCCCACCTGATCCGGCACCGCATGCTGCACACGGGTGAGCGGCCCTTCCCCTGCACGGAGTGCGAGAAGCGCTTCACTGAGCGCTCCAAGCTCATCGACCACTACCGAACCCACACGGGTGTGCGGCCCTTCACCTGCACCGTCTGCGGCAAGAGCTTCATCCGCAAGGACCACCTCCGTAAGCACCAGCGCAACCACACGGCGGGGGCCAAGGGCCCGGCCCGGGGATCAAGAGCCCTGCCTCCAAAGGACCCTTAGCCTCCACAGACCTTGTGACTGACTGGACTTGTGGCCTGAGTGTCCTGGGACCCACCGAGGGCGGGGACCTGTGAGGCACCCCGGGATGGCCAGAGTTGTCTCAGCCTTTTGACCCTTGGGGGCCATGAGTGTAAAAAGTCCCGTTTCCAGATGTCCTCGGGGTGGCGGCCAGCGCAGAGGCGAGAGTGGAGACTGGGAGACCAAATCCCCAAGTTGCTGAACCAATCACTGGAAGAAGAGAAACTGTCAAACAAACACAGCTTCCACCTCTGAACAAAGTAGAACTCTGATTGTGAAACAGCACCATAGAATTTTAAGTAACTTAATTACAAAACTCTTTTTTAATTCTTGAAGAAGCTGAAAAATAGTCGTAGTGCCAGTTTAAGCTTTCTAGCATATTTTTGGTTTCCGGAGCGTGTTCATGTGGGCTATGTCCTTACCAAGTCTGACGTGAAGGTCGGCGGGGCTGGGGACACAGTGAGGAGGGACACGGACCACACCTCCCCTGGCCCCACTGACTCCTAGGGAAGAGATGGTCTTAGCAGAAAGTCCTGGGGAATTGAGACCCTGCTCTGCCCAGGCCTGGGCTGGGCTCCAAGCCTCTGGGACCTGAGACCAGCTGGGTGCTGTGGAACTGCAGCCTCATCTCAGCAGGGAGAAGGACTCATCCCCAGAGCAGCCAGCTTGCCTCTCCACCTGATAAGGCCCCCCAACAGTGCTGGCCCTACTGTGTGTTTCCCTGTTAGGGGCCACTGGCCATCCCTGTCAGACTCCTGGGCTGACAACCCTCCTGGGGCTGCTTTTCCACTCTAGCAAAAGCTTCTGTGTCCTTTGTGTAGTGTTTTTTCATTGTCAAAATTCTTTCACATCGTATCTCATTTGTTACTGTGACTGTGAAACATGCAAGGCAAGTCTTGTTAGAGATGAGAAATAAATTAACTCAAAGGGGATATATCCCACTAAGCCTTGTACCATGGGGGCGAGTGGGGGGGCAGCAGTTGGGAAAAGCCTCAGGTTAGACATGGCTTATCTTCCAGAAGTTCAGTTTGGGGAAGGAAAACTGTTTTTGCCCTCTCAGATTTGTCCCACATGTGCATGAGCAAAATCGTCAAGCCTCAGGCTTTAGCTGAGCCCCCCCACC